AACTTTGGTAAGATGATAAAATATTTTAAAAAAGTGCGCTTTTTTCCTTGTCTTACAAATCATGTAAGCAAAAAAAAGTAATTCATGAAGCATCTTCCAGAAATTCCATTTATAAGGAGAGCTAACATGCGATTTTTTTTTGCGAACAATATGTGAAGCAATTTTATCATGCTAGATACAACCTAAGGAAGGCCACTAATACAGTACAATTAAACAACTTCCAATCGGCGGGAGAGATTCGAATTATCACCGTGTAGGAAAAAGGAATAATGTCATACCGTTAGGGCGTAATTCTATAACATTGATGTTCTTTTTTTAAAACATATAACATTGATGTTCTTAAGTAGTAGAGAGTACTATTTAGTAACTCGTGTAGGAGCATAAGGAAAAGCGTAGGGAGAAGAAGTTATATCATGAGACCGATAATTACAACACATCGGGTTATCTTGAAAAATGTGTATATCATAGGAGCTCAAATCAACACCGTATATAGGTTGATCTTCATTCATTTCAGAACCCCTTTTACCTGAAAATAGCATACTTAAAATAGTGAGGAAGAGTATCTAACATATTTAGTTGGGTTAGATCTCTAACTTCATCCAACTATTTTAACTCATCATATGATCATATATCATTCAATTTTGCACAAAACTGAACTTTTTTATCCCAAGAAAAGGAGAATTGCATGTTTAAAAGGACATTGTTTTATTTCCACTATTATGTTATAAAATCAGTCCAATAGGAGATAAAAATAAACAAACGTAACAGAATATTCCTATCATTGCGCTTGTTAAAAAATAGGTTTTCTCTTCTTGCCTTATGAATTGTTTTAACAAAAAAAGTAGTTCATGAAGCTTCTTCCTGAAATTCCTTCACCTAGTAGCAACTACAATCTATTGTAGAAGCCAGAAAAACATCATATATGTTTTTTAAATGCACAACTGAAGGAGACATTAAGCATCAAATAAAACTAATGTTGTAAGCCAAACTAATCTATTCAATCATATATGTTTCGGAGAAATTTCCCTTGTTAGGAACAATTCACCCACGTTCCAAAATTCGTTGAAACGAATTTGAAGGGAGCAATTGCAGCCATTGGAGAATTGATATATTCAATATACACTTCCGTATACATCTACATTTTAGACCAAATGAAAATAATTCTTTCAAATAATGATACTACATGCGACAGATAAAGGGTTAGGGAAATTAGGTTTGCCAAATCTAAGCGGACATTAAGTATCAAATAAAACCAATGCTGAAATGTGTTTGGTAACATCCACTTAAGGAAAATAGTTAAGCCAAAAACTACTCACGACCTGTTTATAAAGAGTTATAGGACTGAAATAACTGAATGTAAAATTTCTGAAAACCAAAACATTTGATAACATCGTTGCACTTCATTTTCTATTTTAAGAATATTTGTAACATCGATTAAAACTAATGCTGACAGTATGAGGGGACACAGGTTTCTGGAATCCAAGACTGTTAAGCGTAGCATTAATTAATGTGTTTTCATATTTATTGATGTGTTTTATTGAGCATGTTACATACCGCTCATTATGTAAGAATATTCAATTTTAGTGCGAACAATTGAAAATCCCTTTATTCTTAGTCTAACAGCAGATTTTTTTTTAAAACCTCGACGTTTAAAATGCAGATTTTACACAAAAGAATGCATTTTATTCTCTTCGTTGCTTCCATTGTCCCAAAGATGATTAACCCACGAAGAGAGAGAAAATACAGGGAAAAAGCATATCGCAAGAGGATAAGAGAAAAATAAGAATAAGAAGTGAATTTGATTATTTCTTAGCATATCTGAGTTGAAAATTGTAGCCATAGAAGAAAACAAAAGAACTCATAAAATTATATGCAAACCCAGTCATCTGAATTCATATGCTTAATTCGGGGAGGAACCGAGGAAATAGCTAGGAACAGATCGAGATAGTGAGTAAATTAGCTGAAGTCAATTATCTCGCAAATAGGAATAGAGAAAGACGAGACCTAAGAGGGGGATCAGATGTGGCCATGTGGGGAGAAACGCCGCTCAAGCGTTTAAGTCAAATTAAAGGTTATGAGGAACAGAGAAACAGTTGGGCGTGAGGAATGGAAATAGGGATAGAGATGAGCACAGGGATTCCAAATGTAGAGAGATCAATTAAATGACCCAATGGAGGAAGGCAAATATGACTGATAGAACCAAAGGAGCTGATGTAGAAAACAATGAACAGATGCTTAAAGTTACACAAACGCCCTCTAGAAGTTGGCGGGATACTTAGTTAAGTTAATTACCCACTTTGTTTTCACATTTATCCTCATGGTTGAACCTCTTCATGTCCAAATGAATTTAGTATTTTCAATGAGGATTTAGAGCTTACTACTATTGAAAAAACTAAAATAAAAGGGTAAAAAAGAAGTTACTCAGATTCATTATAGGTTATGTAGTCCGCATTTTAATGGAGTATTGTATTTAAAACGATCTAACATTTTAGATAATTAAAATGAATTTAGTTCAAGTTTTTCAGTTACTAATTGATGTATATTCCATTGAATTCTATCCTAAATAAAAACCAACTACGATCCAAAAACAGCATGAAGAATTACAAAACGGAGAGAACTTGAAGTTGTATGTTTAGAATACTATAATGAACAAATTAGAATTCTATTAATTAGGTTGCTAAGTTAATTAGGTCAAATAGTTTTAGAGAAGAAATAAGGATCGAAAATGTTTCAATAAGGTTTTGAGAATAAAAGTATTCCAATCATACCTGAATGAATGGAAGACCTAATGGAATCATGAAAGACATCGGAATCTTCTCTCTGTCTGCACGAAGAAGAAGCAATCGAGTAAAAGATGCATCAGAAACGTCAGAAGAAAGATACCGGGATCTAGGTATTGTAGCAATGATTAATAGAAATTAAGCATAGTTACGGGAATGCCCCTGTGCTTTGAGCGGGAACTTCACTTAAATGACTTAATATATATATATATATATATATATATATATATATATATATATATATATATTCTATCTACTGCTTTAATTTATTTTGCAGATTGGAATGGAATCCGAGAGAATTATTGCAGGTGGTTCGTCACAAATGGAGATCGATCCTGATGCTCAGACCAAAATGGCGATACCGTGTGAAAGAACATTACGAAAAAATCTCTTTTAATAGAGCAAGTGAAATCACAAGGAATATTTGATTTTATGGAGATGGATATGATGTTAGGGAACCATCATCACTACCTTTTCAGTCTTCCGGTTTGAATTGGGGAGGAAATCTGGTGATTACATTAAGACAACTTGAAGCACAACGAGATATAATTGCCAACGAGCATGCTGGATGGGGAGACATTTTCCACGGATAATGTAGTTTTAAAGGCTGAATTATTTCTTTTGCACCAACTGATCATATTGATGCTATAGTTTTGTATCAATCATTATTCCGAAGATGATTTAGAACATAGTTATAATACTCTTTTTGATAAAGGTGGTATTTGTTTTTTGGGGCTGACAGATGTTCTCTTTTTGATGATAAAGGTGGTATTTGTTTTTTGAGGCCAACGGATGTTCTTGTGGATGAATATATGTGTTGATTTTAGAATTAAAGTTTTGTAGACTTACTTATTTAATAGAGCACAAACTCAAGTTAAAAAGAACAATATCAAAGCTACTGCATATCTGTTGTATCTACGGTCCATAGCATCCAAAGAAGTAAGTTTAACGTTTGTTACTTCTGTTAAATTGATTCTGTTAGTTAAAGGTTTTTGCCCAAAAAAATAGTATAAGGGCATAGATGCACTTTGTTGGCAACATCAGGGGTTTTTGCCCCTTTTCCCTTAAGTTAAAATACAACCAAGGTAAATGGTAGTTTGGTAACCTATTATTTTGATTTTGCACGCTAAGTTGTGTAGTAATACAATGAGAAATTGTCATAACTAGGACTATAAACGTTTGTGTATTCCAAAATATGACTATTATATTTTTATTACCTAAATATAAGTAATTAATGTCATGTTTTGACAGTATCAAACTTTAAACTTGATAGTACTTTCCAAGTTTGACAGTAATTACTTTTATTTAAGGAATACAAACATGACAGTTCTATTTTGTAATTTTCAAACTTTTTAACTCCTATTTCGGGAATTTCCCTAATACAATTAACTCATATATATTTAGTTTGATCTCCATATTAATTGAATGAGTTCTCTTAATTAGAGGATTATCTTAAAAGAATCCACATCAAATAGGAGTAAAATATAGATAAAATTTAAACGTAGGATTCACTAAAAACAACATTAGTGCTTCAAAATGGTAATGATTAAACATACTTTTGGTTGGTAGAAAAGAATGACACTTCTATTTTGAGAAATGTGTTACTCTATATGTTTTAATTCTGTTTAACAAATTTCCTCCTATCTTAACTTTTTATCAAATTAAAAACTAATATAAAAATATTCGTATTTCCAAATATCAATTATTCAATGATTTGATATTAGTTTTTTATGTCTTAAATGATTGGTAGAAAGTGATTCTGTTTTATTTTTAATTTATATTCAGATAGTTGGTATTATTAAAATTTATTTCTGAAGTATGTATTATTATTGGTTCATGGAAAATAGTTGGTACTCCCTCCGTCTCATTTTATCTGTCTTATTTTCCTTTTTGGACTGTCCCAAAATAAGTGTATACTTTCCTTTTTTAGAAAGAAATATGTGGCCTATACCATTTCACTTTGTTATACTCAAATCTCAATCACAACTTTTACTTTTTCAACCACTTCATTAATAATTGTGCCAAGTCAAACTACTACACATAAAATGGGATAGCTTTTTCTTTTTTCACATATACAATAATAAAAAAATACTCGTATTAATTAATTTGTTTTCATGATTGAGCAAATTCGATCGACAATTCATGCGTTTCATAGAAAATTGAATAGATTGGATCAAATTCCCTCAATCACCCTCTCATCCATAGCACTCAATATGACGAATCGAATAATATTGCTATAAATTGAGTTGGTTGCATTCAAAGTAGCTTTGTTGCAACAAAAACGGCGAACATTACATTGATATATATACAAAATGCAAATGATTTAATGGGGCAAATAAAGGATTATATTTACTCCCCAAGTAAATATATGTCGAGTACATAAAGATATTTGTTGTTATTTAACAAATCAAAGGGACCTTTAAAAAAATGTAAAGGAAAACGAGAAAACGTAGAGTGTGAGATGTAGGTCAAAGCCAAAGGGCACCCGCTTTTCTAAGCAGAGGCACCAAATCGCCGGAGATATGAGCCACCATAACCTTATCCAAGTCACCAAAAAGCTTCCCACCGATGAAAGCAACCGGAAAAGGCGGCAGCTGGGCGGAGGGATCTCCAGTGCAGCTGATAATCTGGGAAAGCTGGTTGGTGACGGCAACCTCGTCCTCCTCATCGACGTCGTAAATGGTGGGGTTGGCGCCGAGCCCTAAGAGCAGCCGCTGCATGACGTAGCACATGCAGCAGCCGCGCCTGCCGAACACGATGATCGCATTCTCCGCCACCAGGAGGGCGTAATCGCTGTCACCGCCGGTGGAATTGGATGAGCCGTCGCTCGAGGTAGTGCCGGAGTTATTCTCGCAACGCGGCGGCGTGTACGACGTTTGTTTCATGGTCCAAATTGGAAAAGAGTTGTTTCTGGGCTGGAACGGCGTTTAGGTCGTTATATATGTACTCCGTATATCATGATTCATGAAATGATGTTAAGAAAAAAAAATGATGTTAAGAATTGATTTTTTTGTCAAAAAGAAAAAGAAAAAAAGGCAACAAAGTGTGCGAGACATATGCTGACGTAAGTGTATAGGTCACAAAATTGAGGTCCATGTGCAAAAGAAAACATTATCACCAATATTTTATTATCATCACCAATATAATAAAAGAAAACATTATCACCAGCATTTTATTTTACAGGTCATTTTGCTACCTTTGAGATGGGTTATTTCACCATAGAAATAGACCGGGCCATAGTGACGCCAAGCATGATGAAAGATCTTGGTGTTTTAATTGAGAAAAAAATCAAATCTATAGTTTTATTGTGTGCATAATATTGGAGTATGAGTTTTTTTTTTACCGTTAGGATGTTTTTTAATATAATGGGACTGAATTTTTTTGGTATGATCTGTCTTGATCTGATCTCGACTGACTTGATTTGATCTAGTCTATTTAAATTTGGTCTGCTCTGATAAATGTTTAGTCAATGTGTATTTTATCACTGTCGAAATTTGGTATGTTCTGATCTGTTTAAGTCAAGTGTAGTCTTGTCTGATTTGTTTAAATCTGGTTTCGTATATTTTATTTTCATCTATTTTGATCCGGGATAACAATAAGTCCAAGTAAGTATGATTTATGAGACTATGATAGATAGGATGTTTACTTTTTGACTCAAATTTGCTGGTCTGGTCTGGTCTGTTTAATTAAGTCTGGTCTGGTCTGTTTAAGTCTGGTCTGGTTTGGTCTATTTAAGTCTGATCTGGTTCGGTCTGAGGCTGAAAATAGTCCCAAAGAAAACATCCATAGTGGCATGCCTCTTTTTTTCTTTTTTAGGCCTATCTGTTTTATTTTTGTTTAATTTATTTAATTGTTGCAAAACTTAAGTGAGTGGATCGGAGAAATAGGATTAAGTGGTTATTGAAAATTATTTAACTTAATTTTGTGTTGCTACATTTTCATAATTGTGATTAAATACGCTTATATTGTATTTTGGAATTAGTATAGTATATGGCCATAATCAAAAAGTTGAAAGCACTGCCCTCGAATACAACCTTACAAGTTACAAATGAAGACATGGAGTATTCTATAGTCTATACAACTTTCCCTTTTGGTCTGTCCAAAAAAGATCTTCTCTTTCCCTTTTTGGCAAAGAATTTGTAATTCACAGCAATTCTTACACATTTCTCTCCCCTCTGCACAACTCACCACCATACAATTCCCACTTTCTTAATTCGTGTGTCATTTTGTACTACGGAAGTAAATTGAGAGACAGAGGTAGTACAAAAAAAGGATGACATCCATCTTTGAGTGTCCTTTGGAACGGACCAAACATTTATTTGAGATAAATATAAAAAGGAAGATACAAAAAAAGTACTACATCCGTCCCATTTCATGTACTCCGTATCCTACTTTGACTTGACACAATTATCAATGAAGTGGTTGAAAAAGCAAAAAGTTGTGGGTGAGATTTGAGTATAACAAAGTGAAATGTTGTAGACTATATATTTCTTTTCAAAAACGAAAATGAGACACTTATTTTTGGACAAAACGAAAAAGAAAGTAGGACAGGTAATATAATGGGACGGAGAAATTAATAATTAACACCGTTTTCTGAGGGCAACTGATGAACCGACCATAGTAAGGGAGAGTGAGTATTATTTCCCAAGTAATTTTTCTACCGTTGAAACTTGAATGGGTCATATTACCATATACAAGTAAGAGAAATGCTAGGGGTACACAAGTTGTACACAACTTGTACACAAAATGTCGGTCACAGACAATTGGTACGAAGTTGCCTGTGAGCACAAACATTTACTTTCGTGTAAAAAGTACACTAACAGCCGTCAGACACTGACACCAACTTGCAAATTAATATATATATGTCCAGTGCCTGTGTGCACAGACAATATTTTCATGTTGCACAAGCAATTATTTATACGTGCGCACAGACAATATTTACCACACAGACAATAGTTGTGTGGCTCACAAACAATAGTTGTCTGTGTGATCAACTTTAATTGTCGGTGTGATCAATTTTAATTGTCTGGGTGAATAAAAATTAATTATCTATATACATCCAAATGAATGATGTAGTTGTATGTGTAATCAATTTATATGTAATTTGGAAAAAATTAGAAAAATAATAAAAGTAGATGAAATAAGATGAATAAGCTGATTTTGTTAAAATAATGAAAAAAATTGATACAACAAGGTAGAGAAAAAGAGGATGAAGAAGAAAAGAGGAGGACCAAGAAGATACGATGATCATCCCATTTCTTTTGGGAATTTTAGAAGAGATTAGAATAAAGAGAAAAGAAAGAAGGGAGAGAGAACGGAGAGACAAAGGAAGGGGGAATGTGATTATTTTTGTGGGACAGACAACTCATCTCGCGACAGACAATTTGTCTGTGGGAGACAGACGAGTGTACACTTTTTGTGTACAAAAAGTGTATACCCCTAGCAGGCCTCCCTTACCTCTACAACTTGTGTACATGGTATGGTGTAGCGTACACTAAACATTTTTATAGAAGTAATATAATTACTAGGCCGGCCATAGTGACGCCAGGACTGACGACAGGGTTACGTGTATTCATTGAGAAAAAAATTACGGAGTAAATCTAAAAAAAAAAAAAAAAAAAAAAAAAAAAAAAAAAAAAAAAAATGGAAGTCCCATTAATGGGACGGAGAAATTAATAATTAACACCGTTTTCTCGTACAAAATTTATGTGTCATGCCTCCTTTTTCTTTTCAGGCCCACTCGTTTTTATATTTTTTATTGTTAATTTGTTGGCAGCAAAACTTTAGAAGATAAAGGGATAAACAATCTGAAACGGAAGTAGAAGCAAAAGTTTGAGTGGCTATTAAAATACGTAGTAGTTTTTATAAAGAAGTTGTCTTTATACAAAAAACTAAAGTGATATTTTGTTTTCTCTTTGTTTTAATCTTAATTTAATATATGTGTCGCTACTTTTGTTAGTTTGATTATACAACTCCGTAATTAATAAAATAATGTCCTATATCAACTGTTTTGTTTTAGTTTGGTACAATTATTATTAAATTGGTTGAAAAATAAAAGTTATGCTTGAAATTTGAGTAGAATAACGTGAAACAATATAGACCACATATTTCTTGCCAAAAACAAGACATTTATTTTGAAACAGTCCAAGAAAGAAAGTAAGACAATCAAAATAAGATGGATGGAGTAACATTTATTGGCTTTTATCATGACATTTTTACATAGTTTTTAAACATGACTTGACAGGTTAATTATAGGAGTGTTTGGGGTTGATTAAAAAAAGCGCTTTTCAGCTTTTGATTTAAAAAAAGTTGAAAAAAGTGTTTTCAAATGATAGCTTCTACTTAAATTAATCACTTAAAAGCTAAAAACTAGAAGCAGGTAGAAGGGTGCTTTAAACTGCTTCTCACTTTTTCTGTTACACAAAAAGTACTTATTTTACCAAACACTACCAACTTTTACTTTTTCAGAATCACTTTTTTCTCAAACACTACCAACTTTTACTATTAATAACTTCTCCCAAAATCACTTTAAAAAATCACTTTTTTAAAGATGAAGCAATCACAAACACTCCCTATGTACGTAGTGTATGCTGAAATATATATATATTCTCTCTAAGGGTTGGTTTGCAACAGTGCTTTTAAAAAAGCACTTCTCAGCTTTTGACTTTTAAAAAGCACTTATTTTCCCAAACACTACAACTTTTATTTTTCTCGGCTTCCGCGTCAAAAGTGCTTTTACTTTTTCTATTACACAAAAAGTACTTATTTTACCAAACACTACCCACTTTTACTTTTCAAAATCACTTTTTTTCTCAAACACTATCAACTTTTATTTAATCACTTCTCCCCATTTCATTTAAAAAAGCACTTTTTTAAAAGCAGAAACTGTTGCAAACAGACCCTAAGTGATTCTATGTAATTCAAAGAAAAATGATATTTATACCCCCACTTATACTCACGCTTACACTCATAGAAATTGCATAATTGTTTCGGCCTAAAAATTTGCAAATTATTTTTCTCTAACTTTTATTTTAACCCCGAGTATCTTATTTAGGTTTTTGGTAGTTACGCTACTGCCAAATGCCAAAATTTACTTTTCATCATTAATTTGTATGCACTTTTTCCTAGTTTTTTGTTAATAACGATCTTTATTTTTTATTTGCAAAAGATAACTTAATTCATATAAAAAACGAGAATCGGATACAAGATCACCGTATTAAAGGCTACACTGGAATATAATGAGAATCAGAGTTGTAATCACGCATAAGAGCGGTCCAACTCGTTAATCCTGCAATGTGATAGACTCCACTAACAGCAATGATGCAGCTGCTACTAGAATGAAAATTAAAATAAAAGAAACAACAAAATTCAAGCATCCTGGTTTCACCGATCACCAGGAATGGAGAAGGGGTTTCTCCATCCACCTCGAAAGTAAGCATCCCGATTGTAACATCCATTGGAAAAAGGAGAAGATGTTTAATTTGACAAGCCACCTACAAAAGAATCATCTCATGTATGAGACCTGTTAGTAATTTAGGCGGTGTTGTTTCGGGAGCGATGACTTAAACTTCATACACCAAACAATATTAATACTATACATATTTTCTAGAGACAGGAACTCTATTCTAAAACAACTCATGTACTCTACACAATATACATACACTACACTTCACTAAAATAACGACTACCATATTATAAACGAACAATCTCTTCTATTTTCTAACAGAAGACGCTAGTTATGCGACCCTTCTACAACCACGTCTCAAATTGTTTTACAAAGTCAACAATTTTTTGTGATCTAATGTTAAAGTTAAAATATACAAATTTAATCATTAAAATATTCATATTCGAAAATTGCATTAGAATTTTAACAAAATTGCAAATTCCACCATAAAATTTTATTGATATTCTAATTAAGTAAATAAAATAAATTTGTTTAACCCAAAAAATAAATTTTGTAA